AAGGACATAGTGTGAAGTTTCCAATTTTGACTGAAATGGCAAAAGATATTCTTGCAATTCCTGTTTCAACGGTTGCACCTGAGTCCGCCTTTAGCACATGAGGTCGCGTTTTAGATCCATATAGGAGTTGTCTGACTCCTCATATGCTAGAGGTGCTGATTTTTACACAAGACTAGCTACATTCGTCACTTGATTCTGATACAAAAGCGAGCCTTCACCAAATAATAAAGGAAACATAGTTTATGAATTTAATTTCTGAAGGTATTTTAAGTTTTAAATATTTTATATTCATTATATATTTTTTAAATGCATTTAATTAGGTATGCAATGCTTCAATTGATTTGTACGTCATAGAGCTCCGTAAATTAAGCAATCAACAAGGTGATGCTTGGCGAAGAATATTGAAGTTTCATTTTTCTGGATATGACATACTAGTTCCTTTCAGAATGCTTTAAGATTTCTTTCAAGTGTTACTTTTCGAATGCTTTTAGATTTTAACTATTAAGATCTCCAACGTTTGACTTCCACTTTTTATGTTAATGTCATGCTTTCTTTGCAGGTAGTAATATAGTATGGATACAGGCAGTACGTAAGTCCTTTCCTAATTCTTTCAGAGTGCTGCTTTTAGAATGCTTTTAGATTGTAACAATTAAGATCTCCAATGTTTGACTTCCATTTTCTCTGTTAATGTCATCCTTTCTTTGCAGGTAGTAATATATATATATTTATATATATATATAAATATATATATATATAGAATAGAGATCAAATACAAAGCCTTCTTAATTTACAAATTACAAACTCATCTTGACCGTCCGATGAGTTGATCCAAAGGACATAAAGGCAAGGTGACATTTTTGTAATAAAACCCAACTTTTTAGGGTGCAACTCGTTGCACCTTAATGTGCAACTGTTATTTTTATGACTTTATAATGTGCAATACTTTGAACCTCAATATGCAATGCAAATAACGTCAAGGTGCATCGTACAAATATTTGCACAATAAGCACACTTTGTACTTGATCTTTCCCCTATATATATATATATATATATATATATATATATATATATATATATATATATATATATATATATATATATAGTATGGATCTAGGCAGTAAGTGTTGGATTGTTGGTGCTCCGTGCTCGTGACAATATGCTTGCACACATTTTGCAATTTCATTGTTTTGCCTTGAATTGAAATATGCAAGTGGTTCATAATCATTGTTATTATTCCCATTGGTGTTTAGTAGTAAAAGGTGCAGGCCAGACAATTTTTTAGCTAGGCAGAATTATTTCAAGCGGTGCTTTCAAATTGCTGTTAGATTTAAAAAATTAAGATCTCCAATGTTTGATTTCCATTTTTCTATCAATGTCATACTTTCTTTACAGGTAATAAACTAATAATATACTAATATGGCATGGATGCAGGAGTGCTGGTGCTCATGATAGTATGGATGCATGCAGTAGTGCTGATGTTCTTGACATTTTGTAATTTTATTGTTTTGCCGCGAACTAAAGTATGTTAGTGGTTCATGAACATTGGTATTATTCCCACTGTTTTGTACTACCTCCATCCAGTGGCGGAACCAGAACTTTATTTGAACCGGTGCTGATAAAGGCAAGGAATATATGAAGATTTTTTTTGTATACACTGGTTAACACGTTTTTAGACATGTCCCATAGTTTTCTATGTAAACATGTAATTCATAAAAAATCAGAAATTTTGAAACTCAAAACTAATTCAAAATGTTAGAAAACTTCCTTCTTGATGTATAAAAAAGGGTTAGAAAAGTTAATGTTTATATATAAATAGCGAACTAACTACTGGGAAATAAGTTCAAACACGAGGTTGTTTTTCATTTTTATTCTCTTCATTTTTGTTTTGACCTGAATTTATAAGTTGGAAGGACAAGCACTAGTTATAATTTAATAAATACAGAGTATATAGATAGTACTAGTATATATAACAAATTGCAACATATATAGCTATAGAGAGCTCTTCTCATCAGGCCGGCCTGACGGGCTGCCCCGTCCGGCCGAGCCCGTTTGGGCACCTTCCCGGTCGAATTTTTTGATGAAATTTTTTGAGCATGTTCCTCATCAAGTCTAGTTTGTCCATACCAAATTTCAGCTCAAAATTCGATCGGGAAGGTCGTCAAATGATTTTTGCAAGTTAACTGGTCCGGAAAATACATATTCCGGACCAGTTAGCTTGCAAAAATCATTTGACGACCTTCCCGATCGAATTTTGAGCTGAAATTTGGTATGGACAAACTAGACTTGATGAGGATCATGCTCAAAAAATTTCATCAAACAATTCCACAGGGAAGATGTCCAAACGGGCTCGGCCGGACGGGGCAGCCCGTCAGGCCGGCCTGATGAGATGATTTCTCTATAGCTATATAGATAGTACTCCCTCCGTCCCGGAAAATTGTTCCCGGTTTCCTTTTTGGGCCGTCCCAAAAAATTGTTTCGCTTTCCCCTTTTGTAAAGTTTTTTGTGTCTACAATTCATTTACCTTTTTCTTACTCAACCACAACCATACATTTCCACTTTATTCTCACTTTCTTAAACTCCATTCCAAGTCAATGCGGGAACAATTTTCCGGGACGGAGGGAGTATATCCTAATTCAAAAATCACAATACAGACTCACAAAGTTGCGGTACATATAAGATCAAATTCAAAAATGCACTTATCTTACTTGTACACCTAATACACAACAAAACGTTCTTAAGTTCATAACTTGATTTATACACAATTATAAAATCATAGAATTACATTAAATAAAACAGTAAAAGAATAAAATAAAAAAGCTAAGAAAATGAAAATTACCTTCACTGCATCGCAGCCTGAAGTCAAGCTTCCTTGTGGCTTCTTCACCAAATGCCCAACCAAGCAGCGTAGGTAGATTATTAGGCAACACCTCCTCAAATCTTAAAAATTTCAGGCTTCCAGAGATAGTATCTCACCGGCCAAGAGGTGGGCAGTCACCGGTGGTCGGTGGAAATTCACAGGATTAGGATTTGAGGTTCCGGCCGTTCCGCCTCTTCCGTTTTTGGGCTGAGCAATGAAGGAGCGCGCACCCAGCTGTGCCTTATTCGATTGTGGGAGTATCTCAATTTCTCATGTTTTATTACTCCGTAGTTATAAGAGCATCTCCAATTGTAAAATCTACATGGTGCACACGTGGCATGAGAAATAACCACATAAATATTAGTAAATAATTTCTTTCTCTCCTTATTTGAATGATTTTATATAGTTTTGGTAAATTTTTCTCCACAATGTCAAGGAGACCGTCTAGATATTGACATTGTTGTTGACATTGCAAGGAAAAACTTACCAAAATGGTGTAAAATCATTCAAATAAGGAGAGAGATTATTTATTTGCTAATATTTATGTGACTATGACGCATGCCACATGTGCACCGTGCTCATTATAACATTGGAGATGCTCTAAGCGTATGTCGTTTACTCGTTTTATCTTATAGTGTTTCTCGTTTTATTAAACAAACGGCACCGTTTAATTAAATGAAATTTTAAAACAAAAACAAGTAATCGGGAGAAGCAAGCTGTAACCTACCGCCGGAAGAAGATGAAAGCTTCAGCGAACAGGGGCGCCGACCGCCGGTACAGGGGCGCCGCTGGAAATATCACACATATATACCTTACTCTTCCCGCAAAGGGGGAGCGCCGGCACCGGCTCGCTCCCCCTGGTTCCGCCGCTGCCTCCATCCCATTGGAATGTTCCCGTTCGGTTTACGATGCTTGACTGACGATAAAGCAACTCGATCCCTATTCAGAAACTACATTAAAACCGCTACAAAGCCTGATCAAGAAAAGTTCAATTTGATAAAAATTTGATATATAAAGTAAAATATTAGGAGTGACCTAAGTTGACCAATGAATAGTGAACGAGAACATTCCAATGGGACGGAGGGAGTAGTAAAAAAGGCGCAGACAGTTTTTTTAGCTACGCAATTTATTTAGCTCTTGTAAACTTATGGGTCAAACACATTGTTAGTTGCACATGTATGTTGCCTACAGGTTTTGTAATTTGCTCCACTCGTACGTAGACTCTCAGAAATGGATTTTTAATTTACTTGAAGTGTTGGTATGTCTTTTTTATTTTTGCAAGTGAACTTTGCTATTTTTTTTTATCTATTTCTATTTTTTGTTTATTTATTTCAGTTTTATAAACCGAACAACAAACCGAACCAAATCGAACTTTTCCCGTACCAAAACCAAACCGAAATTCTTTTTGGTTTCACTTTGGGACAATTTCCCTCAAACCGAATAGACCGAAATCGGTAAAATTCGAACCGTAAATGGACTTGCCCATGTCACCCCTAATTTGACCTGCTAACCAATGTGCTACACATGCTAGTCGGTAATATCGATGCTTACAAGTCCTTATACCTTGTTAACATGCAATATTTTTACCGAGTCTTAATTAATTTGTTAACTAATGAATTAATTCACACTTCCCAATTATGTATATAATCTCCCATTTTGTATATTTTAAATTTTTTATAATTGGTATTATGTTCATATTTGCGATCCACCAAAACTCAAATTTATTTATTTAAAATTTTGTTAAAACCAATATACTTTAATACTGTGATTTTTTTACATTGCTTAATATATTATCATTATTGTATGTTGAGAAGCTATGAATGTTATGTTGAAATAATCTTAAATTTAGTTATTAATTATTTGGTTTACTTATTTATTAATTATTTATTTTTTATCATTAAAAAAATAGTTTGTTTTATTGTGTGCGTGGGTCATGTTGTCAGTTTCACATTTGAAAGTTTCTTCCGTATTGATAGGTTCATGGAGTAATAATAGGAGTAGTGGCTAGAAACTGATGTAATGGCTTTATATACTTTCCAGCTTTGTTATTTGTTTTACTTGATGCAATATAATGAAAAATGGGATGATCCCAACATCTGCTCTCAGTTTATTCTTTTCGCTTACACCATTACAATTACCGGTCTTTGAAATCAACATTTGGTATCAGAGCAGTATGATCTAGGGCTTGTGAAATTCATATATATATATATATATATATATATATATATATATATATATATATTACGTATTTACTCTTCTTCATATTCTATGGCATCAAACAATTTCTCCATCTCTATCCCATTGTTCAAAGGTGATAACTATTTTTCATGGGCCATCAAAATGAAAGCATATATGAAAGCTCTTAGTTTATAGGACGTCATTGAGAGTGACAGTGAGCCTACTCCTCTTCCAGGAAATCCAACAGTAGCCCAAATCAAGAAACATGAAGAAGAAATGGCACGAAAGCCAAAGGCACTTTCATGTATTCATGCAGCAGTGTTCGAAGAGATTTTCACAACAATCATGAGTTGTGAGTGTCCTAAAGAAGCATGGGAGAAAATTAAAGAGGAGTTCGAAGGCAACCAACAAACCAAACTTATGCAAATTCTCAACCTCAAAAGGGAGTTTGAGATGGTGGGGATGAAAAGTAACGAAGGTGTCAAAGAATATGGGAATAGGTTGATGTCCATTGTCAATCAAATCAAATTACTTGGTGGAGATTTTTCAAGTCAAAGAGTTGTGCACAAGCTCCTGGTAACTCTTCCGGAGAGATATGAGACCAAGATCTCTTCACTTGAAGATACTAAAGATCTCTCCAAATTAACCGTCTTAGAATTAATCAATTCTCTTCATGCCGTTGACCAAAGGAGATCAATGAGGGAGGAAGAAAATGGAGGAAAAAATGAGGGACTCTTGTTAGCTAAATCTTAATTCTCAAAAGGAACTGGCAGCAAAATTCAATGCAACCATTGTCACAAGGTTGGTCATGAAGAAAAGGATTGTTGGCACAAGGGAAAACCACAATGCTTCAAATGCAAAAGGTTTGGGCGTCTGGCAAAGAATTGTAGATTCCAAACTGATGACGAAGTCTTGGCACATATGGTCGAGGCAGAACCTCTACTTTAGAATTATGGGTGATTATGTGCACCATGGAGAGAAGTGCTCCAAAGTGTTTATTTTGATGAGACGTGCATCAAAATTTGGTGGTGGTGAGAAGTGCATCACATATGAAGAGAAGTGCTTCACAAATTTAAGATTATGGGGGTCATTGTTGGAATAATCTTAAATTTAGTTATTAATTATTTGGTTTACTTATTTATTAATTATTTATTTTTTATCATTAAAAAAATAGTTTATTTTATTGTGTGCGTGGGTCATGTTGTCAGTTTCACATTTGAAAGTTTCTTCCGTATTGATAGGTTCATGGAGTAATAATAGGAGTAGTGGCTAGAAACTGATGTAATGGCTTTATATACTTTTCAGCTTTGTTATTTGTTTTACTTGATGCAATATAATGAAAAATGGGATGATCCCAACATCTGCTCTCAGTTTATTCTTTTCGCTTACACCATTACAATTACCGGTCTTTGAAATCAACATGTTAACTATCTATTTATGAATTTAATCTTTCATATCATTATAGGTGTTGGGATATAAGACCCGGCCTCGGGTTACTAATTATATACGGAGCCCGACCAGTGAGGCCCCTTTCAATCCATTTCGGCCAATTAGTGCACAATTCTACCTCTCCCCCTTTTCATATTTATCCCACATGGCATTTCCCCAGCATTGGAGCTGGTGGTGCTGAGAGGTGGAGGGTGTGACGGCAGAGGCCTGCATTTTTTTAAAATACTTTTAGTTATTTTATTTTATTTATTATTATTTTTTAAGTTTTTAATTACATTTTTATTTTATTTTATTTATTTACGTTTTTAATATTAAGTTATATATATATATATATATATATATATATATATATATATTTATATATTTTTATTATAAATAAAACTATGATTTTATTATTTAGGGATTACAGTAAAGGAATAGAATTGGAAGAGAGAACATATATTCCTTATAATTTTGGGAATAAAAAGGTTGTAGTCGTATTGTTGCATTTAAGAACAATATTAGTCCTAAAAACTGAGTTTCATTCCCTAACGTTCTATGATTTTGTCTTTTAGGGCGGTTGCGATCGTCACTCATTGATTTATAAAGTTGGATTTGTTAGCTATCATCATGTCCGGTTCTATGGAGGACATGTATTATTCATGCATGGCACTATATGACGATGAAGAAATTGATGTTTAGTTCAACTCGTCATTGACTGTGGTGGGACGTTTGTTGTCAGACAAACAGGTAAAGTTTTCCTTGCTATGAAATCTGGAGTACTTCTTCCAATAACCTGACATACTCCTCTCCCTTTAAGTGACGAACAATTCTAGCTAGATGCAAGTTTATGATTTCCCAACATCCTTCTTTACGGAACAAATGGCTCAATTAATCGGTAATGCTGCCAGCAAGTTTGTCGTAGCAGATCAAGGTAGCTTTAAAGGTAGGGGCTGGAATTTATGAAGCGGCAAACCGCCGAAGCAATGGGTTGGATTCCTTTTGACTTGATCTCAAATATGAGAGGCTACTTCAATGACTACAATGTACCATTAATTTAATGATGTTAAGATAATGTCAGGTTCATTTAGTAGATTCACAAAAACCCCAAGAAATTAGTTGCAAAAGAGAAACACATTCTTAGCTTGGTGAAGGAATGGAGGAAGCAATTGAGAAGGTGACTATCTGACTGATGCAATTAAAATTAAACTTCCAATAATGAGCTTTTTATCAAGAAAGCTCCAATATCTCCAAGTCAAACATATGAGTTGTGGATGCAATTGGGATATCAACATTTCAACCACCACATATCCACATTTATCAGAGCAAAAACTTGTGATGAAACGGATTACTTAATGTTGTGCTTGGTTATCCAGTAGAAGCACAAATTAGTTATAATCCTTATTCATAAATCAAAGTAATTTGAGTGTTTTCCATGTTTGTATAATATTTATATAAAAAAGTTTTTTAATGAGAAAATTCACTAATAAAATAAATAATTAGTCATAGGACTGCCAAGTATTTCACATATTTTTCAAATAATTGGATTTATGAGCTTAGTCTCGAAATGAATGTCTTGTTTCTTTTCTAGCAAGATATATATGGTTCGTATCATTTCACCATGTTTTACTCAAATCTCAATCACAATTTTTACTTTTTAATCACTTTATTAATAATTGTATCAAAATAAGATAAGACAATCAATATGGAATTGAAGTACTAACATTTAGATTCATTACATTTTTCTAACTTTGCAAAACAAATTATAAATTAAAGGTAAATTAGAAAATTCATTCTATTAAACTTTTCTCCCTTTTCTTCAAATTAAATACAAATGTTTGCTAAAACATTTCCTTCTCTTTCCCTCTCCTAGCCCGTTCGGCTCTCTCCTTCTCTCCCCCCTTTGAATCAAACTGGGGCTAAGAGTTAGTTTGACAATATTACCCTCTTTGTCACTGTAAATGAAAATTGCACCCTCACTCGTTGAATAAATAACCCATCCATTCAAAAGTATGGATGAAAAACTGGAAAATTTTGTCATTTAGAGTAGAAAAGTGTGATGGATGGACAAGTGATAGATCAGATCAAATTTGTGAATTGGGTGAACACATATTTCATTTATCACCCGAATGACCATCCCACCCGCGCACATGACATGAATGAGGATTTTCAAAGTAAAACTAAGTACATACTCAATACATCTACTATTAATTCTAGAGTTTGAAAGCTAGTTCTATTTAGAGAATTTTTAGGTTATGTCATATATTGGCAATTAAAGTTTCTTTTAGTCCTATTTGATGAATTTTCCCTACCTTTTTTACTAGTTTCCAAACAACTATAACTTTTTCAAAATAGGTGCCATCATAAAAACTTAAAAAGTTATATGTAGTACTACGTATATGAGAAACAGAAAAGTATTATCGATCTATATATTTTGAGCATTTATATATGATCATAGTTAATTACCTGAACATATAACATACACAACATTTCAAAGGAATTTTACCCGTTTACATAGGTAACTTCAAAGGAAAATCCTGACTTTTTTATGATCTCAAAAGTGAAGACGATGGATAGAGAAGTGCTTGTCCACGTACATTGCATTATGTTGTCATGCATTGTTTTCCAAATCTATACGTACACAATCTTATAAGCACCAATGGGGGCAAGGTTATTTTGGATATAGAAAATGTGTTGGTGTAAGACTCATGCTTTAAGAAGATGTAGCATACGGTTAAATCAATGTACTTCCTCCTTCGCACTTATCACTTTATATTAGAAACTGCCGTGTTGTTCCGTTCCGTTAGTACAATTAGTCTATATATAGCACCATCGGTCGTTTCTCACCCGACCTCTTTCCTTTCATGTTCTTCTCGCGTGTAAATATCACTAGATAGGCTTCAATGTCACTGATGTGTCACGGTCCGCCATCACCGAATCCAAAAATGTTTCACTAGCCGTCGATAAACTTTATAAGTTCCAGAATATTTACCTCATCTTAGATTCTTAGGGTTTAGATTTGTATTTCTATCTTTACAAATGTAATTCAATTTATAAATTTCTTACTTTCCTTGTTGTCATTTGGATTGGAACGGTACTTTAAAGTTCAATCGATATCTTTGGGATGATTATAAATAAAGAGAGTTACCTAACTAGCTAGGAGTAAAGAGTAAACAATCATAAATAAAATTACATTGTTTTAAATTATGTATGTATGTTTGGATAAATACATTATATTCTTGTAGCTTTTGAAATATTTTAATTCATAATAAAATCGTGAAATTAATAAAATATCATAAAAAAATAGTAAAAAGATATTTATAAATAAAAATTTTAAAAAATAGTTTTTTTAAATGAAATTAATAAAAACAAAAAATTAGAGAAAAAATTTAAAAAAATTAAAAAAAAATAAAAATAAAAATATAAAAGATACATCGCCGCCTCTGCCACCCCAACACCTCCAGTTCCAATCACCGGAGAAAATTAAAAATGCCAACATGCATCAGTAATGTCATATTTATAGCAGTTTCAATGAAAATATTGACATTATCAAGAGTTATAATGGCATTTTTCACTATATTAGTGGTGCTTAGTGGTGCAATGTAACATTACAGTATTAATGCATATGAAAATATGCTTTTGGTTTGGAATGAAGATAATATATTCCTCCTCTCTCCCAAATAAAAGGACTTTGGATTTTACTTTTCTTCATTGACACACACACACACACATATACAAGGGCGTCTTTTAGGAGGTGTAATAGGTGTTTTAGTATGTAGCAGTAGTTATATGTTGATTTTTCTAAATGTTATGTATTATTTGAGATTCCAAAAGGTGTATGACTTTTAGACTGTCTAATTTGTGTACTTTAAACATTATAAAACTTATACTACGTATTTCACTGAACTACCTAGTGTATTTGTATTTCATTCTTAAATTTTGTATTCTTTCTAGCTTGTTTGAGGGGTCTCATTTTGTCATTTGGAAACGGGACCTCCAAATTCATTAGACGGCACTTTGTGAGTGTGTGTAATTTCATTTTTTTCTCTAGCCTAGAGTATCTATTTGTAATATAATCATATCTCAATTTTGTGATTCAGTCTTATTAACATTTTATATACTATGTAGGAGAACTCTTCTTGTCAGGCCAGCCTGACGGGAACCTCCGTCCGGCCAAGCCCGTTTGGGCACCTTCCCGGTGAAATTTTTTGATGAAAATTTTTGAGCATGTTTTTCATCATGTCTAGTTTATCCATACCAAATTTCAGCTAAAAATTCAATCGGGAAGGCACTCAAATCATTTTTTGAAGTTGACTGCGTCAAAATATACATATAAAAACGTAATTAACTTCAAAAAAAGATTTGAATGCCTTCCCGATTGAATTTTGAGCTGAAATTTCGTATGGACAAATTAGACTTGATGAGGAACATGCTAAAAAAATTTCATCAAAAAATTTCACCAGGAAGGTCACCAAAAGGGCTCGGTCGGACGGCTCTTCCGGTCAGGCCGGCCTGACATGATGATTTCTCGACTATATATGGAGGAAATTCCAAAAAGACGGGTGTTTTGTGTTTGTCATTCCAAAAAACGGGACTTTGCTCCCTTGTATGAATATACGGGATTCGGAATTGGGGTTTCCGAATTGCATGAGGGGAAGGGTGGGGGGGGAGGGGAATGGATAATTTAAAATCTTATTTTTCATTTTTTCTATTAACTAATGTAACTTTTTTATTTGTATTCCATTTTTTACAAAAAATGTATCACAATTTATAATTTTTCATGATCTTTCAAACGACACCAATATTCCATATATATTTTTTTTTAAAACAATTGAAGTTTCGGCAATACAAGCTTTTCAGATTCAAAAGTTTTTTTTAGATAGATCCAAATGATAAAGTTATAGGGTGTTTTTGGCATTATGCGGTTAGCGGTTAGCAGATAGCGTGTTATGTTAGCGGGTTGTCAATAGCGGATTCGTTGTTTGACCATAAAATTAATAGAAAAGACCATTTTTCAAAACGCCAACTCAAAACTCTCCAACTAGCAGCGTTTTCATCCCAAAATGCTAGGGCCGAATCGCTATTTACCAAACAACTTTTTCACTTATTGAAAATGCTGAAAGAGATCAAACCGCCATTTTTCGACTGAAATGCCGTTTACCAAACACCTCCATAAATTGTTTTTTAAAATAACTGAAACTTGTAAACACTTTATGTAAACAATAAAATCTTAATTTCAACACTTGAATCTATTTAAGAAAAATTTTGGGACTGAAAAAATTTCTATTGGTAAAACTTAAAAAAAAATCAAACTTTAATAATGGATATTGGTGTCGTTGGAAAGATAATAAAATATTATGAATTTTGATGTAATTTTTGTAAAAAATGGAATATAAATAAAAAAGTTACACGACTTAAAATCAAAATGGGATTTTACATTAACCTTACCCTCCACTACCCTCCCCCTTGCCCTACCACCCAATCAACCCTATTATTCCAATCGGAAAGGGGAATTCCGAATCCCCCATTCTTAGAAAAGCTACAAAAACTCCCGTGTTTTAGCAGCATATGTTAGTTTTCCCGTAAATTAAGAAATCACTCCTATGTATGTAGTACTCCGAATATAAAGTTTTAATGCTACCAGCCTATCACCAATTTGAAAAGTTTTATCTACATTTTTGTGATTCACTAATTTATACGGTAGTTTATAAGAGATTATCAACATTAGTACATTACACTTGGTCAACATCAACACCGTTTTTTTCAAAACAATTTGGGCGGGAGAGTAGCCACGTCTTTGTAATTACGGTCAGCTTTAAGAAAAGGCCGGACGGTTAAGGCGTGACCGAGTGACCCTATTTTGAAACGAGTTTAAATATACTCTGCAACGTTTTGGGATATATATATGTAGAGAGTATTATTAAGAGTATAGAGTTTTTGCATTTGGATTGTTTCGATTTTTTTAAATATCGTGGTTTTAATGTGTTTTCTTTATTAATTATTATATCTAATGTCTAATGTTTTAGAGTGTTTTGTCTCATGTTTAATGTGTTTTGTTTATCATAATACTCCAAAAGTTTATATTTCGATCACAATTTAATTTACTTTTTCTTTAAATGCACCCCAAGTAATATACGGAGTAATATCTTTAGTTGCACCCCAACTTCTTTAATTTATATTTCTTGTATTGTGTTAACGATGAATTTTTTTAATGATTTTGCAATAAATAATAATAGTCCTTTTACAATTAACCAATGAATTTGACCAATTACCGTAGCAATTTTGTTTTCGTAATTTATACTTCTATATGATACTACGTACGTAT